AGCCGTCCTGTGCGAGACCCAGGTCCTTGTATTGCCTTCAAAGTATCCGTTGTTCTTCAAAGAGAGTTGAGTCTCTTCAATGTTTCCACAAGGTCTTCTTCCGTTGTTCCGATAATGAATACGTCATCAATATAACGTTCGTAGAACAAAATTCCACTAGTTAATGATGACTTTTCGATGTGGTCCAAGAAGATGACTGCTAACACAGGTGCTATGCGGTTACCCATGGCAAGGCCTCGTTTTTGCTTGTAGAACTTATTGTCGAAGCAAAAGATGTTGCATTCCAGTGCTGCTTCGATGAGATCCTTAAGTTCGCTGAGGGAAAATCCCATCATCGTGATATGGTCTTTGTTATATTCGAAGAGAGATAAGACAACTTGCACTGCTCCCTCGTTCTTCACGTTCGTGTATAAGGATACTACATCGAAGCTCGCATAGAAGGCTCCCGTCGGTACTGGACTCCACAAGACGCGATAATCGGTCTCGTCTTGATCTCATTCCATGGGAGGGTCATTGTGTTTGTGTTCGCCGGAATTTTGTGCGTCTTCACCAAGTTGTAGAGCGTTGGCACTGTCGGGACCGTACCGTAGAGTCGTTTTGCCATTTCAGGACTTGTTCGTTTCTTCACAATCGACATCACGTTCTTCACTCTCTTGCACACTGATTCGAAAGCGGACAAAGTGCTTTCTTCGTACACGGTGTCGTCTGAGAGCACTTTGTTGGTGAGAGCCTCATCCATCGTTTGTGGCATCACTACGAAAGAGCCGCACTTTTCTCCAACGGTGTACCTCAATACCTCCTTCGCTTGCAAGAGTTTCTTCACCCCTCTGCGTTCAGTGGGGGTCAGATTACTGCGATAAGACTCATTCATCGCGTTCCGATAAACTCGTTGAATCCCGTGCTCGAGGATCGCAATTTTAGAGTCGATTTCACGTGAAGATGGTGGTATTCTTATACACTTTCCTTTAAATGGCATCAACGACATTAAAGTCGCTTGCTGGTCAAGCACGGTCGGACCACGATGTGTTCTCCAGCATAACTGATAGGCAAATTGATGCACTCCACTTCAGCGTCAACTACTTGGTTGTTGACCTTCGATGTTATGATGGTCCCAGATTGAGCACTGCAGCCATATCATTATCGACTTCATTTGTCCCAATAACCACATGACGTGCTGGTGGAACAGCATTCGCTGTGATAAAATGTGGTTGCTGGGATGACTGTCGACGCGATCGCAGCAGGTCCAGCTTTCTTTCGAAGTACCATTTTTGATCTTCTCGTAAATAGGAGCATATCCTCCGGTTTTCCGAAGACAATTTCTGCCACGCTTCCGCACTAATGTCGATTGTGAAGAACCGAACTAGTCCTGGAATGGCAAAACGACTCTACGGCACGGTCCCAACGGTGCCGACGCTCTACAACTTGGTGAAGACGCACAAAACTCCGGCGAAAACCAACACAATGACCCACCATGGACTGAGATCAAGACGAGACCGATTATCGCGTCTTGTGGAGTCCAGTACCGACGGGAGCCTTCTATGCGAGCTTCGATGTAGTATCCTTATACACGAACGTGAAGAACGAGGGAGCAGTGCAAGTTGTCTTATCTCTCTTCGAATATAACAAAGACCATATCACGATGATGGGATTTTCTCTCAGCGAAGTTAAGGATCTCATCGAAGCAGCACTGGAATGCAACATTTTTTGCTTCGACAATAAGTTTTACAAGCAAAAACGGGGCCTTGCCATGGGTAACCGCATAGCACCTGCGTTAGCAGTCATCTTCTTGGACCACATCGAAAAGTCATCATTAACTAGTGNACGGAAGAATACCTTGTGGAAACATTGAAGAGACTCAACTCTCAAGATGCCAACATAACCTTCACCAGGGATGATCCTGGAAGGGATGGATTCCGTCCATTCCTCAATGCGAAGACACGAATAAGTGAAGGCTGTAAGGAACACCTATGGTACAGAAAAAGTGCCTCGTTGGACATCTTGTTGCATTCTAGAAGCGCACATCCTGTTTATATGAAGGCAAACGTCGTGCGAAATCTTTTGAAAATGAAGGAGAAGCCTGGGACGCGAAGGAATTCAGTTGTTGATGCCAAAATTGAAAGTATCCTTGAAAGCAACGGATACTTTGAAGGCAATACAAGGACCTGGGTCTCGCACAGGAGGGCTGATGGTGTAAGCCTCATTGTGCCTTTTGTCAACGACAAAATGGCACGTGAGGGGAACTGCGTCGTCAAGAACTCTCAGCTTCCCATTCGACTTGTTTTCCGACCTCCTCCTACACTGATGGATCTCCTAACATCGTCCCGGATCTACGAAAAACGGTGTCGCGAACAGTCGTGTCGACACTGCACTTCTGAGAAGATCTGTGGACTTCACTTCACCGTCTACTTGATTCAATGTAGGGGATATGGAGAAAAGTACGTGGGGGAGACCGCGAGATCACTGAAGATCCGTTTGGATGAACATAGAAGAGCGTTGGTCAATCCCGCTGCCTATCACACACCAGTTTTTCAAGGCACCGTACCCTCAGGCATGAGGAAGAAAGCGCTCCATCCTTTGATGTGAGGGCTTTGCATAGATATTTGGTACGGGCACTGGAAAGGAAAATCATGGAGGCACGGGAAATATACCGCATCAAGCCGGAAATCAATGCGAAAGAGGAGATACGTGACCTACTGGGACCAATTGAGTGATAACACTTAGTCGCCTCAGGACAAAAGCGGCGTCCATTTTCCCTTTCAGTTCCCCGCCGACAGGTCCATTTCCCCTTTTTCCCCAACATTTCCGGTTGACTTGGTATGATTCGATGTGTTTTGTATTGTAACTGATAGTGACTGATTGTATGCAGCAATGTATTGTAAATAATTAAGGTCTGACGAAGGCATTATATGGCGAAAGCTCACCAATAAAAGTGAAGAGCAAAGGGCTTCGGAAAGTACACAAAACGACAACAATCCAGATTATGATGCAAAATGGAAGACGAGATCGAAAATAGTGCGATGAAGATGAAGAAACTGCGTGAATCGGTGATCTTGAAGTGAAAAAAGGCTTCGAAAAACTCTAAAGAGGTGCTGAACGAGAATGAAACCAGAAAAATGAAGAAGAGTGGGGGGTTTGGACGAGCTATACAATGTGTTTCACTGCGTACGTGTGGGTCCTGGTGCGAATAACAGACTACAGTAAGCAAAAATTCATTCACTTATAAGCATAAGTAAGCAAAAAAAATTCCTATCAACAGCAAAAGTAGCTCACCTTTTAAGGCTCTAGGAGTAGGAAATTAAGTGAGGGATCGCGGCAGCAAAAAGAATAACAGAGGACAAAAAAGAGAGAAAAATATCGCCTAACACTCGGCGATCAGCTGATTGTGTGTGGGTCCTAGAATAAATAAAAATTGTTCTGTATTGTCTCGGCACTCGACGTGGCACCGATCGAGGGGTGGAGAAGCTGGGCTTTCCCGCCCCTCGAATTATCGTAAAGCCTTTTGCGGAAGGTACTCTTGTACTTTATACCAATTATTTCCTTTGAAAGCATTGTAGCAACATATTGTGATAAAAAATTGGACCAATTTAGAGTACAGATTTTCAGTAATAAAGGACTCTGACCCAACTTGAATGACGACCAAAAACTCGGTAGGGACTTATTTGGGAGGATCTACTCTACTATCCTACTTTATATAACACGCTAATGTGTGAGTGTGTGTGTGCGTGTGTGTGTGTAAGTGTGTGTGGGTAAGTGTGTGTGTCCAACCGGAAATTCGTCCCCGTGGCCCTAGGGCGTTCAGACTTGGTAGGAGTACAGCCGACAGGACGGGAACCCTTATTATAAGTGGGCTTGAAAATTGACAATTTGGCCCTAGGGCGTTCAGAGTATTCCAATTGCACGGAAATTTCACTGAGGTACGCTTCCTTAGCCCATCTGTCTTTTTTTTTCTTCAAATGATCGCTTTCGTGATAATATACGATGTTCTATCCCGACACAGCGAAGGTGGCTCGCAGAAAAAATCGCTCCCAACTCGGAGCTTATAGTGAGGGTAAAGAGCTATCAAAGATCAGGGAGAATCCGAAGTGTTATTAACGCATAGCAAATTTCTTACAGGAAAGGGGAGCGCCCGGCTTTCCTGGGCGACCTCATAAGAAGGAGGGAAGCGCGGCGTGAACCGGGCGACTCGGCTGGTTTATGTATAACGCGCTAATTTCTGCCTGTTTGTGTGTGTAAGTGTGAGTGTCCGACCGGAAATTCATATCTTGTGTCCCCATGGACCTAAGGCGTTGAAACTTGGTAGGAGTACAGGCGGCAGGTTGGTAGCTCTTGTGGTGGGTGGCAGAACCAGACTTCGCCCACAAGAAGCGGGGTTTGTGCGAAATAAATGTTCGGGCGGAAAATCAGGGTGTGGGACGTTAGTCTCGATTCACATTACTTCGCGCCGAGGTGCAAAGTGACCTCAATCGCGACTAACCTCATCGCAGCTGCGCGCCTCCCCTTGATCGCAACTAATCTCATCTTACTTATGAGAGTGATGACAATGACGAGAATAGTGAGAAAATGGAATCTTAAGGGAACTAGTTTTTCAACGTAAAACTTCCATGGTCTTTGGTTTAGAAAGTTCTATTTCCATATGGAATAGAAAAATTCGAGGGTCATAAAAATGAAGCTCGTGTAAGATGTAAAAAATTCTTTTTTTTCGAATTTCCACTCATCTGTGGTATCATTCAAAACATTTACAGAAGCGACGTAGTTAGTTGATATTGGGGCATCTCGTCTTTGAAAGGTCATTGAACGATCACCGGCTGATCGTTTAGGCCATTTCATATTTCTCATGGAATATTATTATAAAATACTTCAGGCTAAATTCAGCACGTTGAAGAAAGCTCATCAGCTACTATTTAAGCTGGTTGGTGAGCAATTTATATACAACTATCTTGTTTGGAACCTTACTATGAATTCTGACGACACTTTCTACTACTTCCGAAATTTCACGGGGTGCCCTTCAACTTCAGCGCAGCTTCAATCCGCACCCCAACCCTTTTACTATGCTACTTCCGTACCTATACAACCTCCGCTAACGCAGTTCCAACCCGCACCGCTACCCTGTACTATGTTACTTCTGCACCTAAACAGCCGCTCCAACCCGTGCCGCAGCCTTCGCTCCATAATACTTTCGCACCGACCGAACCGCTCCAAATCGTAACACTACCTTTGTACTATGCTGTTTCTACACCTACCAGACCGCTCCAACCCGTACCACAGCCTTCGCTCCAATCTGCCTAACCTTCTTCAATTCCCTCTCTATTAACTCGAACTTTCTTCAGAGATACCCTTGTTCCCGAGCCGGTAGAGCCATCAAGTCCCGCTTCATTAGAAACAAACATTGAGCTTACCAAAACCCGACTTGTAAAGTTTTTGGGAAAAGACAGGTAAGTAAGTACGAAAAAATTTTTCAACATTTTCTCAGGTTCGAAAAAGTTCATGAGAGAGGAGCAAATCGCATCCAAATTGAGGGGTTTTGCACAAAGATGTCCAAACTCGTAACGAACAAGACCATCTGAGTTCCTCGATTTTTATTTCTAAGGTACTTCTTATCAGAAAAATTAGGCTTCTTTGGATTGTACTGGAATTTTTTTTTCTAAATTTCTATCATCTTGCATGGTAATAATACTTTTTAAACCAAAGACCATGGAAGTTTTACGTTGAAAAACTACTTCTCCTGAAATTTCGTTTTCTCACTATTCTCATCATTGCCATCACTCTCATAAGTGATTAGGTTAGGTGCGATCAAGGGGAGGCTCGCAATTAAGATGAGGTTAGTCGCGATTGAGGTCGCTCCGCGCCTTGGCGCGAAGTAATGTCTGTCGAGACTAACGTCGCACACCCGGAAAATCATAGCTCCTATCCTCGTGGGCCTAGCTCGTTCAAATTTGATAGTACTACAGGCGATGGTATGAGAACACTCATGGTGGGTAGCAAATCCGGGTTCCGCCCACAATGGGCTGGGTTTCAACAGAAACTCATGGCCCCTGTCTCCATGGACCTAGGGCGTTCAAATTCGGAATGAGTACAGTCGGCAGGATGAAAACACGGTAGGTGGTAGAACCGGACCCCGGTTACAGGCTGTAATGGAGACCTTTCGAACCGTACTTATCGATGCTATGAAAACAAGCCCGTAACTCTTTCCGGGGAAAGTCTGTGAAATGCAATCACAAATATTCTCTGCGGTCGCCTGATAAGAACAGTGACAATAGACCCGTAACTTCGCGAAAGAAACCTCGTACGTTTGTGGGGATATAGAGGTTTAGGAGTGAAACGCAGCTTTCACGTTTATGATCTGGCCCAGAAGCTCCAATTTTATGGCGCTGGTAAGAGTGTCCACAGCCTTTTATAGTTTGGCTGTCAAAAGAAGCCGTACCTCTTCGAACGTGAAAAACAAGCAAACAGATTTGCCTACCTATCGAGGTTAGCAGATAAGTTGGAAGGATAAGCTGTCATGAATTAATATAGGAGTTCCACTGCACGACAGTCATTTCCACTGGATACCGCTTCAAATCAACAATGAAGGTCCATAGGGGACAACTTCAAAGCAATTCGTAGGTGGATTCAGGGTTTTCAGTACAGCCCTGGTATTATGCCCCATCGCACCACCACGCTTACCTTATGAGACAACCTCTTGAACGGGCGTTCACCTCAAGAATAGAATCAGCGGGTAATCATATGTACACACAAAGCGATAAACTATTGTCCTACATTATTTTCTCAATAATGTCAGTTAACGTGGTCCACCGCTCCGGAAGCCGGACAGTATCACTAGAATGTACGGACCGTATCCTTCCGAAAGAGAGATGTAGTCGGATGAGTCATTCGACCGCAGTCTACCGTAAGTGCAGGGAGCCGCCGAAGATTTCGAAACATCATTTTGACTGTATGGGGTAGAGAGGCGTATATATTCGGTCAGTTGAGGTGAAAATTCTATTGGTTTACTACTCCCCGAAATCCTGAAACGTGAGGGAGACTTGTAGATGCCCAACATTGAGCCCAACAACGTTTGGCAAGCGCTGGGAGGCATTTCATGGACAAGCAAAACAAGCGCATTCACCAAGGAATCGAACCTTGATGTCATGCCTACTAGTTCAGCGTCCTACCTGCTGCGCCACCGTTGCACAGCAAAGCTCTCGAAGCCACCTACAGGGGTATACATGTCATCGCCATTGCGACCAAGTATCCTTCCCTTGTAAGAGTACTCATTTTTAATGAGATAAATTGGTTCATTTCTTGCCAGTAGGTTACGACCGCTACCCGTAAAAGTTTGCGATTCAATGGAGGATTACGTTTCCTCTCTGCTTTGATATGATTCTTGGCAAAACTTATCCGACCGCTGATAATCTTGGATTCTCATTCAATGGTATATCTGTAGAGAAAGGTAGCTGTATCGAAAAAGACATTTGTTAATGATACAGCTCGACAACATTTGTATGTACCATTCAGGGCTTTGACTGCCCACCAGTTGAATCTTCAAACGGTCATTATTTTTGAGATGAACAGCGACAAATTGAGACTTCTGATCATAGGTGACT